ATCTCTATATTTTCTCATCATGACTTCTCAAGGAAAAATATTAAATCCCACTCATTTGTTTTTCCTTACTGTAAAAAAATTTTTCTTAAGGGAAATACATGAAAATGTGTGTTTGTCAACATGGTCATCAATGTGACATGGTTTGAAATTCTCTTATAACCCTGATCACTCTTCCTTTGATATGCTCTGTATGGAATATGTGAAAGAAGATGGTTCTTTCACAAATGTTGCTTACATATGTTAAAGTGGAATAGCTTTCCTTATTTTGGTTGCTATTATTGAATGCAGATTAAAATTAAAAATGTTTTTAGCAAATTGTTTCTGAGAAACTTTATTGGAAAATATTATTGATAATCTAATTGGCAAACCCTTACTAAATATGTCGTCAGCTAAATCCATTAAGTTCTGTATATACAGTCTAATGTTAAATCATGACTTTCCTGGTGCAGTTAGTATATTAGATCTAAATTCAGAACTTCCTTTTTTTTCCTTGTTAATTGACAGGTTGATAGATTTAGCCTATTATTCTACTTTGATATATATAACTTTTCTAAACTGTGCATCATTTGTTCCAATGTACTTCCAAACACACTAGCCTTTCTGTCCCTTAAACGCCTTTCTTCCTCTGATCTTGTCCGTTAGCCTCATAGAGCTGCTGTTTCCACAATCACTCCCTGTCCCCCATTGCTAATAACTGGAACCCTATAGAGGACCATCAGCTTCCAGTGTCTCACTCTCTGACCACCACCTCCTGTGCCCCGAAGGCCTTAGCAGCAGTAAGCATTCCTTTAGGCAACGCTGGGCACATTTCATCACTCCCTCTCTATTGAAATCTCTTGTCTTGGGTGTAGGAGGGCCACCCTTTTGTGTGTTTCTTCCTTCCTTTCATCTTCCTTTCCTGCTTCATCTCAAAGTGCTTCCTGGTTTCTTTTAATGGATCTAATCGCGAAGCACTCCAGCTCAGTACTTAGAATTTATCTCTTTTCCACTTCCTCCACTTCCACTTTCTCCTTTAGTGGCATCATCAATCCCGTGGCTTTAAGTATCATCATGACTCCCCAAAAGACATCTCCCTTGCACTTAACTTCTCAGACCAACTTTCTACTTGACGTCTCCACCTGAACTTACCTAGTAGGATAACATATACCATACGTGATTTTTGATATTCTTTCCCCTCCTTCCATCTTGTCCTAGCTCAGTCTTTCCCATCTCAGTTAACAGACAATACAACTTTTAGTTAATCAGGCCAAAAATTCTTACAGTCCTCTTTTACTCCACTCTTTCTCTCATAACCATACCCAAATCATCAAGAAATCCTATTCATTCTCCCATAAGAAAATTCAGACAATGCCACTTAAAACACCATGATCATATACTATAACCACTAAAATTACAAAGACTAATAACGTATTACAAGGATCCACAGCAAGTGGACATCTCATATGTTGCTGGGGCAAGTATAACTGCTAAAACATTTTGAAAAGCTGGAAGAGTCTTAAAATATTAAATATATATCTACCCTGTGTGTCAGCAATTCTATTCCTAGTTTTTACCCAAGAGAAAGAAAAACATGCCCACAAAAAATAATCACAGAAGGTTTCTAGTAGCTTTATTCATAGTAAACACAAACTATGAACAAATTAAAATGTCCATCAACAGGGACTGGATAAATAAAATGTGGTATATCCATGCAATGGAATATTACTCAGCAATAAGAAGATAGTACTACTGGTGGTCACAAAAATATAGATGCATCTCACAAACATGATGTTGAAAGAAGCCAGACTTAAGAGAGTACACAGTGTATTATCCTACACACACACACACACACAAGAATGTGCGAAACTAATCTATGGGGGAAGAAACCATAACAGTGGTTGCCTTTGGCAATATGGTGATTGACAGGATAGGGGGGTTAGGGGCCAACTGCAGGCATGGTGACCATGGTCACCTTCTATTAATTGTTTGGGTAGTTACTTGCATGTGTGGAGAGTGGTTACACTTGCCAAAACTCACCAAATTACACAATTAAGAAATGATTTGCACTACCATTGTGAGCAGATTTTATCTCAACAATAAACCTACAAGTATCCAGAAACTGAGCACAATATTGCTACCATCACCTCTTGCCTGAATTACTGCAGTAGGTCTCCGTGGGTTTACAGCATATTTTTCCTACACTCTGTTTCCTACCTATCAACCAAAATCATACCCTTTAAGAAACAAGCCAAGTCATGGAACAGCCCTGCTCTAAACCCTCCCTTGACTGTCCTTCTCAGAAGTAAAGCCAACATCCCTTAATGACTTACAAAGTTCTGCAAAATCTGGTTCTACCCGATACCTCTCCAGCCTCACATCTGACCAGCTCCCTATTGCTCACTTCCAGCCACACTTGGGGCTGCTTGCTTTGCCTTAGCACTTGCCATTCTCTCTTCTCTCCCCCCACATATCAGAATAACACATCCCCTGACCTGTGAAGTCTTTGCCACATGTCGCTTACTGGACGAGGCCTTACCTAGCTCTATACATAACACTGCAGGCCCTCAGCACTTTCGATCCCACTTCCTTCCTTGTGTTTTCACAGGACCTATAACTAATGTACCCGTATAGCTTATTTGTTCATTTGAGATTTTTCGGAGCCCCCATCACACATTTAAATGTAAACATTTACATAGGCGATGACATTTTTGCATTTTGTTGACTCATTGCTATACTCCATAGCTTAAAATAGTGCCTGGCATACAGAAGGTACTCAGTAAATATGAATTAATGCCTAAGTGAATGGATGGATGGGTCTATAAGTATGATCACTCTTTCTCCAGTGTCCTCATTCTGTTCTTCATTAACATGTAGGGGTAGATGTAGACAGCAAAGGACAGTCACAAAGCTGGTCACCAGAGAAACTCCTCAAGCTTTAACTAATTAGAATAATCAACCTTGATTTTGGATTTATTTACCAAGTTTATATCTTTCTACCTTTCCTGGGGCAACAAAATCAATGCTCTTAAGTTTATATCAAAATCAGATTTTTATTGCAGTACAACAAAGTCAAAGCACTTATCAATTGCTGTACTGATATCATTCAGCAAATTTATCTTCGTCTCTCTTAGATACGAAATGTAAGTGGTCTTGTTTGGTCTTTAATGAAAGCATATTGCAATAGTAAGTATAGGCATTTCCCAAACACCACGAGAACAACAACAACAAAACCCAAACTCGTAAAGAAGAAAGAGATTTTCCCAAGCAATGTTTTCAATTCTCCCACTCATTCCAGGGCATTATATGGTCAACCGGCTGCTAACAGAAACCACCAGCTACTCAATCGTGTTAGCTTGTGTCGAGGTCACTCTGCACCAGCATTAGACAGCAGGGAACTTAAGATAGCATCTTGATTTAAATAAATCACTGTAACACATTCAAGGAGTATAGTGTATTTGTTACTAACGCTCAAAGGCACATGCCACGGGATACTCACATAACATGTTCTGGTGTCATGTATTTCTCCCAGGAGGGAGCTTAACATGGAGGCTGAGCCCATGCTACCTGGGTTCAAATCCCCCTTCTATCATCTGCTACCTGTGGGGTCTTGGCCATGTTCCTGAAGCTTTCTCTGCCCTTACTTTCCTCATTGATAAAATGCAGATAAAATAATATCTTCCTCATAGGTTGTGGAGATCATACAGTGAGATACTGAATATAAAGTGCTCAACAGTGTTTGCTATTACTATCACTTATGCGGAATTTTAAAGGGGACAGCACAATCACGTTTTCTATCCTCATGAATTCCCCTTCGCAATCTGATGACTTGGCTTTAAGACATGCTAAAATAAGAAAACAGTGACAAATGCTGTGCATGTATAAGTTGAATAACTCTTGTGATAGGGTTCCTACTTGTGTTAAATATTTGGTTGCCAATTTTGACACTGGAGAGTCTAACTGTGAGCACCTGAAACCCCTCTTTCTAAAAAGCAATAGTCTACCGTGCGATACGAAAGCCCCTGTGCCTCTCCGGAGATCAGAGTCAAGTCTCTGCCACATTTCCTCTCTCTGCCCGACCACTCTGGGTGGACTGCAGCCTCAACTAGCATCTTGGTGGTTGCCGTATGCCAGCCACCACGCCAGAGAACCACTGACACACGGGCCCTCGTTCTTGCTGCTCTTCCATCACCGTTAATGTAAAAACACTGATTATCCCCTTCTAATCAAATCAGGACCGCTTCACTGGCCCCAGTGGCTCTATGTGAGCCCCTAAACCCACCAAAGTGCAGATTTCTAGAGATTAGACCCAGAATTAGCAGGCAAACACTGCTATCAACCTATTCTGTGCCATAAGAGCCCTTCTGAAGGGCAAACACGTTCTGCCACTGGGCTACGATTAAGCAGGCTTGCTTGGACTCACACCCAGAAAGCGTGGGATTTTTTTTTCTTGCTTACACAATTATACTCGTTTCAGTCACTGTACCTGTGGCGACAGACAGTGACCATTCCTTACAGGGAACGTTTCTCTCTTCGCAAATCTTGCTTTTATCACAAGTACGCCACAACCACAGCCCGTCAGATATGTTTGTACATACCTAAACTTCAACTGTGGACAGAAGCCCCGTCTCCTCCACTGCCGCGGTGTCTCAGTCTTCATGTTAATCAGCGCATCTAAATGGACTTTGAGGAGGGGGAGCTGCTTAGCTCCATGTGTCACAGCGCAGGGCCAGAGGGAGACCCTGCTACAACAGGAAAGAATGCTAGTGGCATGCCTTGGCTACTTTAGATTAGTGTTGTGTAATAATCATAAAACTAAGCAGAGATAAATAATCTGATTGAATTAATTTCTCAGGTTGATCCTTAGTATGAGTGCTACATTAATTCACAAATCTCCATTACTATATTTTCTTCCCTTTATTTTAGGTGCTTTTAAAAATAATTTTTATTTTTATTAACATTAATGTAACATATATGTATATATAATGTATATATAATTATATATGTGTATATGTATATATAATTCAGATATACATACATAAATTTTGGAAATTTAGAAAAAATATATGTGCTAATGAAGAAAATGCAAAAAACTCACAACTCCCTAATCCATATCTAATCACTGGAAAAGAGATCTCATTCTTAACCTGAGATGAAAAATTATAGAAACATAAAAATATGCCATTCTCGATGGGGAAAAAATATTCAAGTGAGCATTTAATTTTGTTAATACTGAAATATCACATCATATCATTATCATCATCACCACCACCATCATCCACCCCGGCAACAAAACGAGAGTGCTCCTCTAAAACCTTGAGGCCACAGGAAAGGACCATAACAGAGTTCAAGCTGATCTCAAAGTTTTTCTCCATGAAGATAATGACTCTAAAACTTAGCCAGGAGTGAAACCGTTCCTTCCCTGCCACTTCTAAAATCTGAAGAAAAAGAGAGTGAAAGGGTAAGTTACAGAGTTTAGGTTTTTTTCTTAGAAAATCTAAACTCATGATGTGACTAAAAAAGAAGAAAGAGGTTTAGGTCACTTTTGCTTTATTCCTCCATTATTTATCATTTTGAAAATAAGAAAAAAGTACCGTTATGCCTCATAGTCAATACTTGTTTTAAAATGCAAAGTAATGATTTCTATGATTCTAAGACTATTCCGTCTAGTAACTGCCATTGAAATAAAATTGAAGTCATTATCAGAAAAATAATTCCATGAATTACAGGGTCAGACAATCTTTAGCTCTATAATAACACTCCCCAGATAATTCTAATTCGCTTATATTACTAAAAATACTGATAGTAAAATGCGGTGAAGTATTAAATTAATAGAAGACAATGCAGATATAGGTTTTCATACTGCACAGGACTTCTTCACAGCTCACTTTTTCATTGTTTTTTTTCTGGAAAAGTGCATGCATGTACAAACTCTTCAAAATAAACCCCACATATTGGTATTATTTAGGAAAATCATTTTGATTCACATCATATTTTTCCTGTAGTCAAACTGCAGTGTAGATCATATTACACAACGTTACAGAAAATGGGATTAGAAGCAATGCCTGGTTCCCTCCCATTTCAGTCCGTCCAGGTATCTGAATTAGTTCTGTTTCATGCACGAGCCATTTTGACCACATACACTTCACAGTTTCTTTATTTTACAGATAAATAACCTAATCCTCATCATTTGTTCAAGTCTTAGGATTAGAACTTTTAGTCTACAAACTTCCAAACTACTGTTTTCCGAGTACAATGTCACATGTTTAAGAAGTGTTTCCAGGCAATGTGCAGAATTCTGCAGATAATCGATTGACAAAAAAGTTAATAACTAACAGGGATGTTTTGATCATATGTTTAGACTGGCACTGTGTTAGGTCTCTTCCAAGAAAAAACAAAAGCAACAGGACAGCCCTTCTTACCAATGTTCTAGGAAAACAAGAGTTACATATTTGAAACAATTAGTGACTATTAAGCAAGGACTGGTTAAATGGTCCATTACATTTTTCCAGCTGCATTACAGGATGTTTTAAAAGGAAGCAATCGATGTAACATGGAAGAGTTATAAAAGGCTCTTTGAAGAAGCACAGTATATTCACAAACGAGGCCATGCTTCAGAGAACTGTCGTGTGCCCAGAGTCACATGCTTCCTTTGAGCATCACTGTGGATCAATACAAATGAATCTAAAGCAGAAACGTAAGCCCAATGACTGACATCAGAAAGCAGCTTGTGTTGCGATCACAACCTTCCCTCCTGGGACATCTTGCCACCACTCACCCAGAGAGCTTCCCCACCTCCAGACTCTGTCTTACTCGTGCATCACATTCATTCGCCTTTTGGATCAAATCATTTCCAGTTTCTAAGGCTAATACCTCCTGAAAGCTTCTACATCCAAACTCCTGGCCCTTCATTTCTGATGGGAGCTGGAGCCCAGAATGAACTTAGATTTCCACACTCAGGCAGGAAGTTCTTAGCCACAATGACTGGCCCCAAGCTTGGGCCCAGGCTTCTTCATGGCCATCTGAACCACGGAGGCTGACTCCCAGGTGACCCGTAGCACTGAAGTGGGATCACAGCCACACACAGTGTTGGGTTTCTCTGATCCTGTACCCGAGTAGCTCCAGTCTGTGGGTTCTGGGAGCTGGTTTCCTTCTCCACTGTACCCACTAGCTCCTCTCAGGTGAGAGTCTGCCTGGCACCAGTCAGCCTTCTTCTTTGAAGCCGGATCCTGTACTAAAATTGTCAATTCTTTTGGTACAAGTCTTGCCGCCCTCCTGCATCCCGAGTGCTGAGCCATCCTTTGAACGCTCTCCCTGCTTACTCCAATATCTGAGTGCTGACAGCTTCTAGAGTTGAGACTCAGGAAGTTTGGCCCCAGACAATGTGTGCCAAGAACGCCTGGTGGCTTTGGGCTCTGCAAACAAGTCATCTTTCTTTGGTCCTTGCTCTGCCTTAGTGAGTAGGTTTCCACCCAGCTTCCTTGCGCACATTCAGCACCTGGGCTTGAGGGCTCCCAGACCCGACACCCAGGTCGGCTTGACTCACCAGAAGTCAGTCACTTGCCTCCTGATCCAAGTGCCCATGACTGCACCACCCAGTAAGTTACTGCCCCAGAACACTGAATCCCATCTTAGTTTACATCCCGTCCCGAGCACCCTCATCCCAGGACCATCGTATACATTTTAGCTCCATCATAACAAACTAAGAGTCAGTTGGTTCTCAGTCTCAGTGGAGAAAGTAGATGGGAAAAAATGCTTTGTCAAGTGCACCAAGAAATTAATAGAAATGATGACTCCTGACACTCTGTGTCAGCAATGATCTAGCTAATTGGATGTTAGTGATTTCCTGGAGGATTTGCTCTTGGAGTATTTATTTCTAGGACAGTCTTTCCTCCTGCCAGCTGTGACCTAAAATGGGATGGTGACCAATACATCCTGGCTGATCCGAGTCTGAGGCCAAATTCTCCCAGGACTTTTCCTCAGGTACTTGGTAGATCTTCAGAGATCACTTTCAGGGAGAATAATCATTTTTGTCTCAGATTACTAGATGGCTCCTCTATACTTTCATGTTTAGGTGACCATCTTCAGGGGCCTCAAGGGCCAACCTTAAGATCTATTATGTTAACTCTCTCACCTTGGCATGGTCTCCTCTTTGCTTTCTGAAATACGTGCATATGGCTTTACTATGCATTTGGAGGGTACTACACAATAATCGGATGACATCAGAATAGACCTTATTATGTCAATGGGGTAAAAAGCCAACAGATGTAAAATGTGAGCAATTCTACTGCACCAGCAAATATATCACCAATGGCAGGATATTTCATTCAGATATAACCCTGCCATCTCCTTCTCATGTTTTGTCCCCACCCCAAATTCCAAGTAGGCAGCTTTTTGAGCTCTTTGAGCTCCCTTGCCTCAGGCAAGTTTTGTGACACTGAGCAGAAAGCAGAGCTTGCAATCAATACAGCAGAGAAATGTGTTTGTGTGTGTGTGTGTGTGTGTGTGTGTGTGTGGTGGGGAGATGGTGGTAATGCAGGCAGTCAGAGAGAGGGAAGATTCTACAAAGCAAGGGGCCTGAAGTCCAGGGGCGGCACAACTATCCAAGGCCTGTCTGCCACTGAGTTTCCTGGTTCCTCCTAAAAATGTAGAACCGTCTAAATAGTCATGTTGTGACCTCAACATTCCATATAGCAGCAAGAGATCTTTATTGTCACTTTCTAGGAACAGCATATGAGGCAAATGCATGACAGAAAACCTCCTTTAACATTGATATCGTCACATCTTAAAGAGCATAGCCTCTATTTACAGACTTAAATTAACATTCACATAAATTATTCTATTTGCTGCTATTTTGCCATTAGAAGATGTTGTTAAACAGATGTCTGTTGGCTCTTTATAAACACTAGGCACTAAATGTTTGTTAAATTCAGTATGTATCAATGAGAGGAATCACACATATATATTTGGAAGGCAAAAATAAATTTTATATATCTGTATCTACTTTTCAAACACGATCAGACTAATTTTTTCTAAAGAATAGTAACTTCCAAAGCATTTTCCTTCTACATAAACTTCATTAATAGTGTTCTTTTTAGATTTAAATTACTTTCTACCTTCATTACTTGTCCTGCATATACTCAAAAATCTGCTAATTCAAAGGAAGCACTCAAGCATCCCTTTATGTCTCAAGGATCAGGAAATCTTATGAGAAACAATAAGTGGCTTTGTCAGATAGTGAATGAGGAAGAAATTTCTGCAGTAAGGAATAAACCATGTTCAATTTTAACATGTAAAAGAACATTTCCTTAACTTGCATTTAATTTAAAATCCCATCACAAGAAAAAGGTTTTTTAAAAATTAAGATGTCTCTTCTGGAAGATGATCAGTCTCCCAGAAGGCAGCAGTACTGGTGGTAACTGGTCTTTTAACCCAATAGAAATTCAAATCAAAGCAAACAAGATAAAAAAAGAATCTAATAATGTGTAGGTCCCGTCCAAAGGCATTACCCCAGGTTTTCAACATCAGCACTATTGACACTTTGAGTTGAAAAATTCTTGGTTGTTTTGGCCTATCCTGTGCATCACAGGATGCTTTGCAGCATCCTTGGGATTTACCCACTGGATGCCGGTAGCACTTATCCTCCCTGTCTTTGCCCTCCTCCCCTCTCCCCACACTGTGACAGTCAACAATGTGTCCAAACACTGTCAAATGTCTCCTGGGAGGCAAAATTACACCCCACTCTCACTCTGCCCCTAAAACCACTGTTTTAATCTCATTCCCTTCTAGCTAGCTTCTCAGTGGCATTTCTTTCACACAGCTGTTTATTGAGAAAGAAAGGATTTGACTTTTAATGTTTATAAAAAATAAAAAGCTGCAAAGACTGAACAATATCTTTAATTTGGTATCTATAACTAAGGAATGTGTCTAATCCAATCCATGGATGTCTTTTGGGTTTCTTCCCATCTGAAGAGAATGTAATTTGGTGTTTAAAGGAATGTCTGTGATTTGGGGTTAGGCAACCTAAATTCAAATTTCATTTTTAACATTTAGAAGTTGTGCAATAACGACTAACTTACTTAAATTCCTGGCATCTGTAGTCTTCAAATATCGGAAAGTCAGATAACAATAATGTCTTTACATCACATTGTTGAAGGAATTAAATGAGATAACATCTCTAAAGGGCATACCACATATTAGATAATCAATTATCTCATGCTTATAACCATGAAAGTATAAAAACATCACTTACTATATGTATTTTTCTTCAAAATATCATATCTTTTTTCCCCAAGGTTTTAATAATGAAACTAGGACTCTATCGTTTGGAATACTCTCTAGTTTTCTAAAACCAGAAGACTACATTTATCTCAGTTTGCTTTTATGATGGATAAAGCCATAGGTAACCACAACTGTGGCAGTGGTTTCATCTTTCATCTTGGAGAATCTGGTTGTATTCTTTCCAAATACAGTATTTAAGGGGGAAAAACATTTCTTTTTCTGTTGATACAACGTCTTTAACTTCACTAAAGAATTATCTGGACTGCCAATTCTTACAAGACCATCTTGAAATCCATTCCCCCAGGCAATTTTATGAAACCAATGGAATGGATATTATTGAGACTAACTGGAAATATATTGTGTGGTATATTCCTCAGTATTATACTCCAGCAGGAATCACAGAGGACACGCTCTATTTTGTATACAACAGTTGAATCTGTTGAGGCATTCCTCATATGTAAGAAACTTATGGTGAAAAAGAATAAGAAAACAAATACATGTACGTTCATGTATGACTGAAGCAGTATGCTGTGCACCAGAAATTGACACAACATTGTAAACTGACTATACTTTGATAAAAATATATTAAAAAAAGAAATTCAAATAAAGCACAGTCCCTGGCTTCAAGGAGCTTAGACTTATCACATATTAAGTAGTGTGGGAAATTATGCATTGTAATTCTTAATTTGCATTACAACCACAAAACTCTAATAAATGCATATTACTTATCAGGAAATAACTACCCAATGTAGAAACCATGTAGACAACCTAGTCACCTTTTTCAGGATGCATGTTCCCCTCACTTTACTAAAGTACTCCCTTCTTCTTTCACCAGGCTAATGTGCTACAGAGCGCCCTTGGTCTCACCCTCCAAAGTGGCTCACGAACCCAGTTAGATGATTCCTCACTTCCAGGTGACGAGCCGAGGGGAAAGAATGATAGTGTGTATAGTCCATCCCTCAGCCAGATTGAGAAAGTGCCAAATGACACCCCAGGTGTCAGACCGCAGCTTAGATGTACATCAGCTCTGCAGGTCCTCTGCCCTGAACTTGCCACTGGACTAGGCTAGTTCCTCCTGCAGTAAAGCTTCCTTCAGTCTACAGTTGTCCTGTATAAACTTTGCACAAACAAAACATGCCCACATTTTAAAAATTAGTGTCTAAAGCATAAGGCTATGGACAATTTTATGTGTTGGCGTTTCCAGGTGTAGAATTATCAGCTTCTCATTGTTTGGAAATTTAGCCAGGCTGCTGGCCTCACCTTGCATTGCTGCCCACAGTTCTGGTTTAAGGAGACACACTTGCCAACTGTACGATAGCTAACAATTAACTGAGCAGTCTGGTCACTTACCAATAAACTTAAACTCCAGCAAAATAGCATAACACCACATTTCAAATCAACTATACTTCAATTTTAAAAAAGAAACAAAAAATGATGGGCTATTTTTTTTTAATCCACTAGATCTAATTTGGAAAACTCTACTTCTCAATACCTAAAAAATGAAATTTACATTTATTTCAACATGTGTTTAAGTTAGATCATCACTTATATTCTGGAAGG